CCCCTCCCCTCCCCTCCTCTCCTCCCTCTTCTCTTGGCCTTACCTCATCTCACTTGTGAGGTAGGCCTAGCCTTTAGACCAGTGGTTCTCAACCTTCCTAATGCTGCAACCGTTTAACACATAGTCCCTCATGCTGTGGTGCCTCCCAACCATAAAATTATTTTCATTGCTACTTCATAACTGTAATTTTGCTAGTGTTATGAATCATAACGTAAATATCTGATATGCAGGATATCTAATATGTGGCCCCCAAAGGGATCACAAGCCACAAGTTCAGAACCACTGCTTTAGACAAATTATCCAGCACCAGAGGCCTTCAGGTGCTCCTGGTAAAAAGCAGAAAAGGGGGCAATAAAGAATTGATGCTTATGGGTGCTGGAGAGATGGCTCAGTGGTTAAGAGCACTGACTGCTCTTCCAGAGGCCCTGAGTTCAATTCCCAGCAACCACATGGTGGCTCACAACCATCTGTAGAGATCTGATGCCCTCTTATGGGATGTCTGAAGACAGCTACAGTGTACTTACATATAATAAATAAAACCTTTTAAAAAAAAAAAGAAAAGAAACTTATTTTTTAAAAAAAAGAATTGCTGTTTAGAAGATAGCCTGAAGCCACAAGCTTCACAGTCAAAGCACAGTGAGGCTACCCCTTCCAGTGTTTACACAGTCCTGGTGAGTACCCTAAGGGGCATATTGTTTCATATTCATTTGGGTTGTGGCAAAGTTCACTGGAGCCTACTGGAGAACCCAGCCCCATACACATTGGGTGGGCAGAGACACCACACTGGTACTGTTTTAACAAATACTTTATGGGGCCTCTTGCCTCTTCTCAGTGACAGCCACTTTTAATACATGTTAACAAAAAAAAAAAAATGGACAAAGGCTAAGAGCATAGCTCAGTGGCAAAGCATTTGCTTAGGATGCATAAGGCTCTGGGTTCAAGTCCAAGCAATGAAAACAAAGAAAAAAATCACAAAGATAAAAACAAACATGAAAATTCCTGCTTTGGGAAATCTCAGTTTTTGCTAAATTCACCCAGTGCTGCAAAATCTTCAGTGTTCAAGCTAAGAAAATGGAAAAAAACCACAATCGTGAAAAAATTAGAATCTTGTGAAATCATCCCATTTTAAAGATAATTATACTCATATTTACATATACATACAGAAAGACAGACAGATAGACAGACAGACATAGATACATACAAATAGACAGACATCCTGCAAGTCAAATAAAAGTATATCTGTAGTCCAAATTTGGTCTAGAACCCAACCTCTTTAAGTCTCTGACTTACAGGGTTTTGCTTTGTTTTGTTCTTAATTTATTCTTAAGAGACTGCCCTCCACTGAGGCCCTCCACATGGCAAAGGACCAAATGATTTTTGTAACAGGTCCTGTTAGGGTGAATTCCATAAGAATCCACACCACTAATTACCTCTTCATAACAGCTGTAGCAGCAGTGGTGTGTGTGTGTGTGTGTGTGTGTGTGTGTGTGTGTGTGTGTGTGTGTCTGCGTGCGCGTGCTGGGGATCTAATCCAGGGCCTTCTCCAAGCTAGGAAAGCTCCTTGGCATACTGAGCTATACCCCCATATCTGACTATTTCTTAATGAAATTTATTGTTTTCATTTGACAGACCGCTCAACAAAGGTGTTTTGAAAACTAAATTCTTGAGACTTTACTATTCATGGTACTTTAGAACTCCACAGGGATAGGACAGTCTGGCTAAACCTATCTCTGTTGTCACATGCATCTCAGGCTTTGCTGAAGCACCAGCCTCCTCAGACACCGACAGTGTAAACTTACCTCCATGGTATGAGTTTTTCCTGATGACGTCTGCCCATATGCAAAAATTGTCCCGTTATAACCTTCAAGGACATCTGCAAGCATAAGAGAGATGAACAGTAATTCATTATGTTGATCCTATACTGGCATTGATTGTATGAGATCAAGTTACAGTTTCCGAATGGCCCATCTCTATCTTCTTACACAAAGAGTATGTGCCAACTGCGTGTGCTGTTTAAGTATGATTGTGAAATAAGAACAGAAGTGAGGGTCTGCTGGCCCACAAATAAGGGACTCTCATGTCTACAGACTGTGGGACTGAAGGGGAAGAGCCTCTCCAGCTACTTGAAGCTTTCACCTAGGTGTTAGTCTCTTGAGATCCTTGGGAAGGAAAAGCCACCAGGCTTGCAGTTTCTGGAGATTAGAATAGAATGTTGTGCCTGTAGGTTTGGTCTCAGTCAGCTATATCTGGATCCTTCGGGCCATTTCCCATGAAGGCCTCACCAGAGTCCATCACAGCAGATGAGAACTAGGGGAGCGAAAGGCACCACACTGCAAACTGAGCTCCGCACCTGATGCAGTTGCCCTGGAAACCAGCCAGCCTGACTTAAATGTAATGCCTCTGGTTTTTTTCACTGCCTTGCTAGCAGGACGGCCTGGACCCATCAGCATCAGGAATTTCTCTTAATTACACAATAAGCACACTGTGAAAGGCCACAAGCAGAGGCAGGCTGGCTTCTGTCTCACACAGGGAGGAGGGAGGCGTGCAGGTGGGGGCTGCTTCGTGTGGCGGAGCTGAAGACCATCGTTGGGAATTCTTTCAGAGCAGCATAGGTGATTAAAGCATATTCCCTCCTGCCTTCCCCTCCCTTCTGCAACCATCACAGAAAGGGAAACAATGCATAATTAATTTCCTTGACCCACCACTCTGCACACGAGGGAGGAATTCTTAATGTGGTTGCCGGTGAGGGCAAGGAGAAGTGCCCTAAACAGAGGATGCTACTTGGGGCCATGTGAGAAAGTGGGCCAGCCTGTCACCTCCATTTATTTCAGATACTGATGGTCCCCTCCCCTCTCTGAATCTGATTATGCTGGCTTTGGTGGTTGTGTGATGATAGTGGGGGTGGTGGTGGTGGTGGTGGTGGTGGTGACGGTGGTAGTGGTTTGTTTTGCTTACTAGGTTTTCAAGAGCAAAAAAGAAAAAAAAGGCATACATATTTTACTAATACGAGATTGTTAGTATATGACTTGGGATCAGAGAAGAAAGGAATTTCAGTGAAAAAAGAAAATCCTACCAGCCCTTCCATATGTGTTTGTATCAGGTTGGGGGTGGGGAACACTCACATGTATCTGTCTTCTACAAATGGTTTTTGAAAGTGGTTTCCCTAGTAACAGCAGAAAGAAGAAAAAAAAACCTGAAGAAGTCAGTGTTAGGGTTAGAGGTTTAAGCTTCAGTTTCCATGAAAATGTCAATTCTCAGAGAAAGATTCCTCTGGGGCTGGACACAGTGGCAGCGCCGTGTGCAGCGCCGTGTGCCTCCACGTGACCACGAGGCATGATGAACATGTACTTTGAGAGATTCAAAGACTCAAATCCATCCTTCAGTTGTGATTTTCAAATTCAATACGCAGAACACAAGCAACTTCAGGAAGCTGGAATGCCAAGCGCTGTCGCAACAGAGAGCTTCTTATTTATTAGAAATTAAATGTCTCTCCTCAAACTGAAGGGCCTCCCTTACTTTATACTCCTCTGTATGTAGGGCTCTAGACTTCCTGGTCTGGGGCTAATATCCATGCAGCTCCTGATCTAGCTCCTGTTTTCTGAAGTGTGGCAACCTGCCACACTCTAAAGGAAACTGACTTCAGAGCCTAAGTCCAGCCACACTCCTTTCTCTGCCACCTTCCTCTTCCTCTGGCATCTCCATGAGGCCTCAGGGCTGCTCTCACCAAGCACAGGTAGGACACAGTCTCACCGAGTAGGTAGTTTATAGTCCCTGTTCTCCTGTGTTTACAAACTGGGTCATAGCATCAAGTCTGAAACCGACTGGTAGAGTTATTCTTTAGAGGGCACAAACACCGGCTTCAGTCCTCAGCATCCCACAATCAAGGAATGATGTCACACACCTATAATCCCAGCTCTAATGAAATGGAAACAAAAGGATCAGAACTTCAAGGTAACCCCCAGCTCTGTGAAGGCCTGAGGATAGCCTGAATTAAATGAGAACCCATTTAGGACAGCCTGAGCTAAATGAGACCCCATTTAAAAAAAAAAAGGACCATGCCTAAGGACGCCGCCTAAGCGGCATTGGCTCATGTTGGGCTGAGTACTGAGAGGATGTGGGACTATACTCAGAGAAAATCCCTTCTCTTTATTATGTCAATGCTGGGCACAATTTTCTTTTTCTTTTCTTTTCTTTTTTTTTTTTGTTTTAATAGAGAACATATAGAACCCACTAAAGCACATTCTGATTGGCCTTTAGAGTACCCAGAATCATCGAGCAAGTAATGCATTTTAGAGAACATCCCGGATCAAAATTGAATGCAGCTGATGTTGCCCTCTATCGACTCAATACTGAACTAAAAGATAATTTTAAAAGATAAGGTCCTGTCTATTTTCTAGGATTTGAGAGGATGTGTTTGTTTATTCCATGTGTGCTTTATGGTTAGTGGAGAGTGCCGGCAAGAGAAAGCCATGGGTGAACAGTGCAGTTCAAGGGCTGACAGAGGAGCCAGCACAGTCTGCTGAGAGAGAAGACTTGAGCATGCCTTGTGCTGGGCCCTGTGCAGAGCCACATACTGCCTCCTGGGCCAGGCCACGGCTCCCAACCAAAAGGCCTACAAACTTCCATCGCAGTAAATGGCCAACAGTTCCTGGGCTGGAGAAAGTCATTTGCCTTATTGTCTGCGGAGCAGAATGACTATTTGCACACCCTGGCCATGTTCTTCCAGACAGAAGCTTCCTTTGTGATGGTGTCTGGCATGATGTGAGCTCAACTCACGCCACAGAGCCTCCTCACACCTCTCAGGCCAGTGTCTGTCTATTCAGCAGCCCAGCAAACCCAGAAGCTTCTGCTGCAGGTAACAAGTGACATCTTATCTCCCAGAGAGGAAGGGAGAGGACAGAGGACACTGGCCAGCTCCAGCTCCAGAGTTCAGAAGCTCGAGCACACATCTTAGGGTCTGCTTACAGCTGAGCCCAGGTATGACAGGAGCAGAAGTGAGTGCTTGGTTAAGTAAGTACCCGGGGACAGTTCATCACACCTATGCATCGGTATTCCTAAGAGGCTGCCCAGTCTACTTAACCTCTCCAGGTGAAATGGTGCTGTGTCAGGGGCACTAGGCTTCTGACAACAGCTAAAGGATGCTCTGTTTGGGATCCTAAGGTTTGCCAGCAAACCAAACAAATCAAGCTGCCCATGATTGTAGGATCCAGACCCAGGCTCCAAGCACCAATGGCAGCAAAAAGATGCTTTCATCGCAGTAAATGGCAGACAGTTCTTGGTCTTGAGAAACACGTCTGCTTTAGACTCTGAGGAGCAGAGTGACTATTTCCACACACTGACCCCTCAAAAGCCTCTACATTTCAGAATGGAAGATCACCCACGACCAACAAGCACAAGGCTCTGGGGCCACGGAGGCTGTCCTTTCTCCTCTACTCTCATCACACGCTCATTCCTATCCCTGGCATTTTGGGCTGTTAGTCCATATGGTCTGACTGAAAACTAAAGGAAAGGCAAGATAACTCAGAGCACAGTCAGCAAACTAGCTCTCAGGGCCCAGACCCACTCATTCTTCTAGATTTGGCCAAAGCACTTTATTCTCTGTGCATCAAATTCCACTTTAATGTGGTAGGGAAAGTATTGTGTTCACACCTCATCAACTGAAGCTTTAAGATGCGACATCTAAGGTGCTTGAGAGCAGACATACTACAGAGCATACAGAATAATGAAACAGATCTGAGTGTATCTTCCTAAGCCTAAAGCTCTTCAGTCTGCCCACACGGCCTCTAGGGTACAGTCCACCAGAGGAGCCAGACTGCCTTTGGCAACCTCATTTACCACTGTATACTCAAAACCTCATGCCACGCCCTCTGAGCTACCCAAGCGTGCGTGCCACATGGTTTGTATCTTCAGGCTCTCGCAGTTCCTGCTACTACTACAGCTCCACTGTTATCTGTAGTCCCCAGGGCCCAACTTTTCTAAGAAGCTTTCCTCAATTCTCCACTCCCTCCCCTCACCCAGCAAATCAGCACAAAGTGGCACTCCTCTGTGCTGTCCTGGCATGGTGCACACACCCATCTTAACCTGCAGAGCACCTCAATGTATGGTAATGGTATATGCACATGCCTCTTCTATATTGAGCGCTCCTAGCAGACAGTCTTAGATGTTTTGGTGATTCCAGTCCCTGGCAGTGCTTATCAGGTAGTAAGCACTTAATATAACCTGTATAAATAAATAACTGTAGCTTAAAAAAATCAACTGGAAAAAAAATTTAAACCACCTTCTCTAAGCATTTGGGCAGTCCATATTCAATTGCTTTGGAAGATGAAGAAGGCCCAGAGCAGCTTCTGCTGACTGAGATACAGTTACCAAGACCTCAGCAATAATATCTGATAACCATGGAGTTTAACACCTAGGCACCCATAGGAGCTTTATTTGCCATGATTATAGTCACAAACCTTACAACCTCTTCCCACATAAATGGAGAAATCTTCACGCTCTTCCCGCCAACATTTTGAAAAACTCAAAGATGGGAGTGTGGATAATACCAGATGCCAGGACTCTAAATATCATAAGTTGGGCTCCATAAAGGTCTAGTTAGACTAGAAGACGGAGCTCATCAGCCTATGACAGCATCATGAATCAGGAGACCATGGTGATCTTCAGAATCATTTGATTCACATCTCAGTCTCTTTATCCTGTCCCAATCCTAACTTGAGCAGGGCTCTTATGACAAGATGATCCAGTGGTACTCCACTGTGTACTCCAAGAAGGCCTTGGTTATGTATGTATGATTTACCTCACTGATGCAGGAAGGAAAGTCATTTCCTCTCGAAGGAGCCTTGGAGGTCACTTTTAAAAGTTCAATCAGGTATCTGTCAAGCCCAGGAAGATAGAAAGGGCCCATGAAAAAGGAGAGGTGAAGAGGTCTTAAGAGCAAGAGTGGATAGAAGAAAACATACAGTATTAAGGGGAGAGGATAGAGATCTAAGGTTTGAAACAGGGATGGAGATAGGAAGTGAAGAGAGAGGAGGTAGGCAGGGTGAGCTAACCCAAACCAAGGATGTGAAAAAGAACATCAATAGAAAGCTACCACTTTGAAAATTCATTAAAAAGTAAAATTAAATACACACACACACACACGTTGAACATAGATACCCTGCATGAATAGACAATGATCCCCTTAGGAGACATTATCAGTTATAAAATGAAATCTCAGTACCAAGTTACGGGATAGCTCACTGCAAGCTATTGATCAGGGAGGGTCAATACAGGTTTACCATTGTTCTTGGATATGCAGCACAACTAGATGATAAGGTCTTCTTGCTGAAGACACCAACACATTGGTTGTACAACATAGAAAAATCAGCTGGAAGCTTCCTCCCTGCTGGTTAGCTTCATAGTACCAGAAGGTGCTATGCAGGTCACTGTGGGAGAAAAGGCATCAACGGCTTGCCTTCAACCTCCATGCCACAACACCAACTCACCAGGAAAGACTCACCCTCTGGTACAATAACGGCATGAAGTTATACAGATAAACAACTAGTCTTGGCTTGGATTTGAGGCCTACTTCATAGAAAGGAATTTAAGCCTGATACTTTAAATCTGGCCTTTGCCCATAGCTCAGGTTACTAGCCTTAGAAAGGAACATATTATTTGCTAATCTGTCTTGCTATCAAACCACCTTGTCAATATTTATGCCTATACCCATTGATTGAGCTGCCCTCAATCTTGACTCCTTTCTGCAGCAGTCAACAGCTAAAGTAGAGACTCAGAGCTGGTCAAAGTACTGAGAATAAGTGTCTCTGCGAGTAACTGCTCAGCCTTCGAGAGGACACCAGGCTCCCACATTCCCAAAGGCTCAGAATACAACTCAGAGAGGCAGAAAGCGCAGGAGAAGGAGCTGCTGAGAAAGGCTGTCTTTGGGACACGACATGGCCATTCTGCCCATCACCTCACCGCAGTACGAGATGAGTCAGCATTCCCACAGATATCACTAATCAAACTCAGGGTCCAAGAAGAGGGAGAGGGAGCAAGAAGCAGTGAGGGAGACATGTTGGAGGAATATGGGGTGGGAAGGAAGGAAGGAGTTGAGAATTTTCTCGGGAGAGGGAGGGTGGAAGAAGTTACGGGCACAAATAATCAAGGTGTATTGTTTCATGGATGAAAAGAATAAATAAGAGTCTATTCCTTTAAATGTTTAACAAATGATCTGTTAGGTCCTTGTCATCCTAACAATTTCTTTGCAAGGGAGAATAAGGTATTCTTCATTGCTACCAAATGAGTATATGCACATTACAGTCATTGTGCCCTAGAAACGTCTGCCTAGCATATGCTTAGCCCTGTTCCTCCAAAGGGTTTTCTTTGTAGAGCACCATCTATTTGGGATAGCAGGTTACCTAGAGTTAAGACATAAAATTCACAGAGACTGCTGCTTCTTAATTTAGCTTTTAGCTGACACCTTTATAAACACACACACACACATACACACATGTCCACATTAATGGGGATGAGAATGTCTATTTTTGACACCTCATACTAAGAAAATATCCAACCACCGAAAGAGACCACACACTAGTGAATGAAAAAGCAAAGGTGATTACCATTGTCTGTTAATCATTGTTGTTTTTTAAAATGGAGTGCATCCATTTCTAATTATATTGGCACAGAGATAGCTGGATGTATTTAAACGGCCTTCATGCTCAGCACAGCATGTGGCAAATACTATTTGTTTCCGATAATGAAATTGGGGAGAGAAAAGGATGGAAATTCTGGCACGCGTGATTAATCTTACTTTAATTTAAAAACAACAACAACAACAACAACAAGCCCTATCTGCATGCTGACCCACAAGGGAAGGCAGCCCAGAATAGGAGGAAGCCAAGGAGGATACATTTCAAAAATAGAAATCGCTCAAAGAGAGGCAGAAGAGACAAAAGACAAAAACTACCACCCCCTGTCGGCCAAAACTATTCATTCTAAACAGCTAAAATCTAGGCTTATTTTTTTCCTTGTCAGTTTTCTATAATAATCTCACTGAGAAGACCTTCAGAATTAATTGATGTCTGTAACAAGAATGTGACTAAGCATACACCTTAGCCGGGAACACTGCATGCTGACGTGAGCCTCCCACACAGGTGTCCAGGGTCAGAATTCATCTAGCAGATGTACCAGGGCTGAATTTCATGAATTTCAAATAGGTTAGTCAGCTCGGCTCCTGAGAACAGCAGATCGAAAGCTGCGAGATGCCTCTGTCTTTTAAACCTATTGCTGCCTGGACGGGTGGTGGCATCAGGACCTTTGAGCACACGATTGCCATGGCATTCCCATCTGAAGGTGAGGATTTGATGAAGAAAAGCAGGCGAGCGGGAGATGCCCCTCAGCCCCATCCAGATGGCAGGCCCTGCCACAGCATGCTCCAACCTGCTCCTGCTTTGAAAGGGCAAGAGAGAGCAATGTGCAAATTGCTTCTTTGCCCTGCTGTTATTTTGACACAAATGCTCCAGGGCTAAGGCCAGTCCCAGTGAAAAGGACTGATCTCTGCGACACAAAGGCAAGCTTGAAGGCACCTGTTTGGAGGAACACATGTCAGGATATGGAGGACGGCTGAAAGTGGGTTAGAAGAAACTGAGATTAAGGAATGCCGTAGAGCAGAGATGACTGCACAGCTACCTCAAAGTGGGGACTTCATGACACTGTAGAATATCCCTTGGTGGCAAGAGCAACCTTCCACCTATAAGTTCTACATTCTCGGAGTTATTAGTAAAAGAAACCAGCCAAATATGTACAGCTAAAGCATGGAGCAATGCATTTCCTCCCTCAAAAATGAGATGAGCACTCTACCTGTCGTTTCCTGGGACCATGACAGAAATTCTGTGACACTGCTTACCTTGCCTTTTCAGCTCTTAGGTAGCAGAATAACACTACCAAAGAGATGGCAAAGGTAACAGAGAAAACTAATGCAAAGGTTGAATAATGTGACTGAGGTAAGACACAGCAAGTCAGGGCCAGAGCCAAGACAGCAATTTAGTGTTTCCAATTAACAGGCCTCTGCTTACAGTGGAGGCACACTGATGGCAGGACTGCAAGTGTCACTTAATGGTTTCATTAGTGAAACCCCAGGAGGAAACAAAGTGGCACTTACCTTTGACAATCTGCTTCGCACAGGCATTGTAGACCTGCTCCTGGGTTGTGTTGGGTGGCAGCACTCGGTCAAAGACGTACGGCTTTCCTTGCTGAAATGGGATGAAAGAAAGGGGTGGAGAAAACACATTAGGGGTTTGGGCCTAAAAGGCACTAATATTAGTAGTTAAACCGCAGGCAACTAAATCACCAGCCCAGTCTTTAAGCCAGTCCTTTCCCCCACCATGGGGCCTTTACAGCCCGACCACAAGCACACCGCATGCATGGATGCTGGTCGTCAAAAGCCTGAAGGCAGAGATCTCTAAGTCTTTATCCACTTTTCTGTATTAAAAAGGTAGACAATTCCTTCCTTTGAATATATTTTTTGAGAATTTACTCTGGACTAGTTGCAGATTTGTGAACTGTCCCATCAAGTGGAGCAGATAGCTAACAGGCAAGAATTCTGACACAAGAAAACAAAAGGTGTCCAGGTATACGGTAAGGTGACAGAGATGACAGAGCTGACCACAAGCATGGAAGGCTTGACCAGAAACGTCTCAGTTCAGAGGATCGTGGAAAGTTCAGAAAGATGTGTATCGGAGAAGAACATTCTAGGCACAGCATGAGTAGACAGCAATGAGTCTGGTGTATTCAGGAAACAAGAGGGTACGTACCACAAGCCTAGAGCTAGCGAGAATATCTGGAGCCTGCTCATGTAAGTAGAGTACTGATGGCCACATAAGTAGCCAAATAAAAGCTGCCTGTGTTGTATTTACTGGAGAGACGAGATGATCAGATTTAAGAAGCCATTCTCAGTAGTGAATCTCATTCGACAGCACTGCTATCGTCCCGTGGAATTCAGTTTCCTGTCATACAGAAGCAATGTCTAAACTGGATTGAAGCTTCCAAAACAAAGGAGCCCTTCTAAGCAACAAATCAAGACATGTGAGGGAGAACGGTTGTCCAGGAGTTTGGCTGGCAGCTACATATGTAAAATTCAGAGAAGCTGCCATGTCAGGGGAAGGGAGACACTCTACCACGGCACCAGATAGGTTTTTCTGCCTGTCATTCCCTGCTCAGTAAGGATGAATGGGTATCTCAGGGCCAGTCACAGCACTGAACACTGGGGAAGACTGTGCAAGACACAGGTCCAAACTGCAGTTGGCTCTGCCAACAGTGCCCAGTCAAATCAGCACAGCCTTTCACTAGGCCGTGAAACCCACAAATCTGAAAGAGAAGAGAACAGAGAGGAGGGCTAAAACCGGACCTCCTATGAGTCAGGGACAGACAGACTCCTCAAAGAGACAACTGCCCGTCAGAGTTCCAAGAGAAGGCCAGCTACCTCCTATAACCTTCCTACAAGAAACACAAGGCCTTCCAGCAGGCTAAACGGTCAATCATTCATCCCATGGCTCCAGGCAAATGGAGGCGAGATCCTGGCTTTAGTATGTTTGACCTTTAGTCTCTGAAGAGAGAATTGACTAGCCAGGTAAACAACTAACTTTACCTTAGGTAAAATGGAGAGTTTTAGAAACTTAAAAAGGAGGGGCAGGGACAAGGTGAGCTTCATTCACAGACGCAGACCTACAGCCATTCTGCAAGGAAGGGTGAGGAAGGATAGCTTCCTTAAGTTCCATTCACAGTTCTGTACCTGTTTTATACTTTGGTTAATGAACCAGGTACTTATTTGATTGAATAAGCAAAAACTATTCCTCACCAAAATACTCCATTAACTCTCTAACTAGCCTTTATCCATTTTCACATTCAACCCATAGGCAGGGGCTGGAGAGATTCAGTTTGGTTAAGAGTGAGTGTTACTCTTACAGGTACCCAAGTTCAGTTCCCAGAACCCATGTCAGGCGCTTAGAATGGTGCGAACCTCCAGCTTCCTGGGATCCACGGCCCTCCTAGGCCTCTTTAGGCACTAGCACTCACAGCCACACACACATCCACAAACATATAATCACAAGTTAAAATGATTTTAAAAATTCAGCCAATACCAGAAGGATAAAAAGTAAAATTAAACATTTCCAGAGGGCTGTGGGTACATCTGAGTGGCAGAGCTCTTGCCTGGCCCACATGAAACCCCGGGGTTGGTCTCATGCACTGAAAACATAGGAGAATAGAGATTTACAGAATTTGCCTAAGTCATCCACTGAACTCTCTAGAAACTTAAAAACAAATTTACTATTTCTCCAAACTTAGAGGGAATGCCAGTGTAGACTGTGTTATCCATGGCACGACCCTGCTTTCAGTTTTAGAGAAAATATATTTAATGTAGCAGAAAAAATGGCCTATTGAGTGATGGTGTACAGTACAGACAGTCAGGATGCTCTGAATTTGCCTTCCAGTTTAAATGCTTGCTGTAATGCAGTGCATTTTCCTTTAAGAGAGATGGAAGAAAAGGATTCATTATTCCCCTTTAAAAAATACTATCAATTATCAGTTTACAAACAGCATGACACTTTTAAATGACCTAAAGTTAAATCCCCCAAGGCAACTGCCTGCAAGACTTTATGGCTGGGTTGACACTGAGAAAGATGAAACTCTGAAAACCATTAGCTACAGGACCCGTCTTGTCAGAACTAGCACATTAATTAGAAATGTATGCATTTCGATGTCCTTCATGCGCTCAGTACTCACACAGGCTTTTGTTTTTTAAATATACCTTGAAGTATTGAAAGAGAGAGAGATTAGAATGTTGTTGAATATTTTCAGAGAACTGACTTGTACCAATTGTATATACACTTGCCCCCTCCTCTCCTTTCCTCTTTCCCCCCAAACACACACACACACACACACACACACACACACATTTTACTACTAAGAGTTATCTCGCAAATTCTGATCAAAACAGGAACACAGACCCTTACCCAGAATCCCCTAGGAGACAAGAGTCTAATGTTGCTGACGCTGCAATGGCTAAGGATTCTGTAGGCAGGCGACAAACCCACCTGCTCGACTGTTTGCAGCAAGAGGACAAAATTCAAGTAACATTGCTATGTAGGTGCTGGACACTGGCACTTGGCCTGGATGGGGCCACCACCCACCAGCCTCTAAGGACTCGGCTCCTTCCAGGTGTCCTCTCAGCTCATGGCCTCTCTATCCCTTCTGACGACACAAACCAGAGTGTTTGGCTAGCGTCCCTTTCAGGCAGAAATAGTCAAGAACTGGCCTAGACCCAAGCCTCTTTGTTGTGTGCTTGGCTTTTAGAAAATCGAAATGACTATTTTACCCTTCCTCCAACACTGAGGTTCAGGAGTTCCATCCTAGAGAGTTCCACCGCTGTGAGTGCCCCTTAGCCACCCAAACTTCACTAGAAAAAAGCAAACCGTTATGCTCTCCATACTTGAGCATCCCAGCAATCACCTAGATGTTCACACTGAATGCCTAAGGCTCAGTGTATGCCAGAGATCCCATCTGGGATATAGCCTCAATCGTTATAGTATCTATACCACACAATTCTCTCCTTCAATCTGTTACACAAAACAGCCAAAGCCCCTAGCCAGTCCCCTTGCTGCTCTTCATCCATAATAATCCGTTTCTATTGTTGGCCAGAGTGAGTATTCCAAAAATAAGATGACATCACTTCCCACTTGATACTCTCTTGTGGCTCCTGTCCCGCTCACACTGACTCTTTGCCCAGGGCTGCCTGCCCTCTGCCCTCTCCTGCAGTTTGGCCCAGTGAAATCTCCTGCACCCTATTCGCTCCCTTCTCAACACCTTTTGTTATCAACCTCCCTTCTTCTCAGAGTTCTCTGAGCTCACACCTGCATTTGGCTACCCCTTATGAACTGCTGTCTTAATTTGCTTTTATGGTTTTATAAGAAAACATTATGATGAAAAGCAACTTGGGGCAGGAAGGTTTATGACATCTTCGAGGTTAGAGTCGTCATCAAGGGGAGCTAGGGCAGGAGGCCGGAGCTGATGCAGAGGCCGAGGAGGAGCACTGCTCACTCATGAGGAGCACTGCTCATGCGCTTGCTCCCTCACTTGCTCACCTGCTTTCTTATACAGCCCAAGACCACCTGCACAGGGGTAGCACTGACCATGGTAGACTGGGCCCTTGTACATCAATCCTCATCAAGAAAATGCTCCCCAAACATGCCCACAGGCCAATCTCATGGAAGCTTATTCTCAGTTGAGGTTCCCTCATCTCAGGTGACTCCAAGTTTGAATCAAATTGAGAAAAACCAACCAGCACATTCTTCATATCTCATATTCTTCATATCTCACATTCTTCATCCTTCAGGGCTTTCATGGTTCTAATTAAAACAACCCCACCTCACGTTGACATAACTATTACCTAAAGATTTGCTTTGCTTAATGATAAGGAGGGTAGCACCCATTTCCAACCAACCAAATGGTCCATTGTAATTAAAGTATCCCACTGGAACAGAAGCTACAAATCCTAAGCAGATAGGCAAACCCACTGAACCTCAGGCAAGGGATCTGGGTGTCATACTCCACACTCATCACTACTGATAATGAACCTTGCCACCATTGTCATGACGCCTCTGTGCACTGCAGTGCAATTGCATGGGAGCAGAAAACTAAAAATTAATGACCTACCGGGATCACATACAAAAAAATAATAGCAGATGGTCCTTACACTTCTCTAGTTAAAATTAAAAACAAAAATTATGCCACCAGAATTCCTCTCAAGTTGTTGAGAGCAAAATGTCTGTGAACCATATGGCCTGCCTATTAATACATTGACCTATTAGCCAAGAACTGCTCCCCGCCTGCAAGCAACTCAACTGGGAAAGACAAAGGAAAGACAATGTTCAGAAGATGAGTACCAAGCATAGGGCACATAAAATGAATTGTTCTTATAAATACATTATTATAAAATCCAAGAACAATCTTAAAGACTGAAGAAGAGTTGTGACCAAAATTGGTCATATTTGAATATTTTCCCCCTAAAAAAAAAGGCTACTATTTCCACTAGAGAGTTGTTGGTTGCTGAGAGAAATCATTAGTCACGGGTGCTTGGATGACTTCATTCCCGAAAGTGCAGGAAGAGAATGCAGGAGAGGATGGATTCTTTCAACCTCAACTGATGCGCTCCGTTCTGACTGTCCACGTCAATGGTCCCCACCCATGTATGCTC